TATGAGCGAGACTAATATCCCTAGACAGTTGATTTACATGGTGGGCAGGACAAAAAAAGGTAACAATTCCTATTAGTGCAGTGATTCTTGACATGAGAGCAAAGACACATGGCACGTTTAAGGGCCAGGCACCGCAATGATTTGCTTAGCTTTTGAAAACTTTAACAGGCAATAAAACCTACGATGGTTGAAGGACGATTGCAAAATCAGTAACATCTATTTACTCCCCATTCCCCACACCCGACAAGCAAAGCAGCAGAATGTCTCTGGGGTTTAACCAGTTCTCTAAGGGTTAAACAGTTCTTAAAGTCTTCTCTGCTGTGGAAACAACTGGCTGGCTCCTTGGTGCTCTTGCCGGGGGTGGGGGGTGGGGCCTCAATGGAGATGCAGATGACATCCTTCTTTCAGGTGGGTCTTCGGTGAATACTGGCTCCCTCAGGCAAGCTCGCTCCAAATATGCTCCAGAGGTCTTTTGCAGCATATTTGCTCAGTGCAGTACGTTATTTGATTTCTTGACTGTGCTGGTTCCATGGGAATTGCTTTTGGATCCAGGTAACATGAAATCCTTGGCAACGTCACACTTTTATTACTTTATTATGATGTTATGTATTAGTCTGGTTGTGAGGATTTTTGCTTTCTTTACATTAAGGTATAATCCATACTGAATGCTTTAGTTTCTGATCTTCGTTAGTAACTGCTTCAAGTACCCTTAGCTTTCAACAAGCAAGATTGTGTCATCTGCATATTGCCAAATGTTAACGAGCCATTCTCTTAATTCTCATGCTGTGGATTGACATATATCATGATATTTTTCAACTTCTTAGATTGTTTGCTCAGTATACAGATTCAGTGAGTAGGGTGAGAGAATATAATCCCAGTACACAGCTTTCCAGATTCTAAACCACCCTTGAGCACAGTGAATTGTTTAGGAATATCTCTTCTTTGCAATGTTATCTTTAATTATGATCCACACAGTTGAATGACTTTGCCTAGTTTCTAAGACACGGGTAAACATCTTTCTGGTGTTCTGTACTTTCAGTCCAAATCCATATGATATGAGCTCTTGTTTCATGACCCCTGTTGAATCCTGTTATGATTCAGGTCATGTCATTGTACAGCTGCATCTGTTTGAATTATCTTTAGCAAAATTCTACTTGTATATGATAGTAATGATATTGTTAGATAATTTCTGCATTCCATTGGATCACCTTTCTTTGGAATGGGCACAAATAAGGATCTCTTCCAAATTATTGGTCTGTCTTCTAAATTTCTTGGAAGGGCTCCATCGTTGTTGTTGTTAAGTGCTGTTGAGTTGATTCCATCCAGTAGTGACCCTGTATAGGGTTTCCAAGGAGAAACTGGTGAGCTTGAACCAATAACCTTGCAGTTCAAATGACTTTGCAGTCTGACGCATTAGCCCAAAGCACCAGGGCTCCATACAATCACTTAAACAAACAAAACCCCAAACCTGTTGTGGTTGAGTTGATTCCAACATTTTACTCTGTCTTGGAGGCCTGGTGTGGCATTGTAGTATAAGCACTGGACAGCTAACCACAAGTTAGCTGTTGGAAGTTCAAGCCCACCAGCCACTCCATGGAAACACTATACAGGGCTGCTGTGAGTTGGAACCAATTTGACATTTCTCAACAGCTTTCTCTTAGTGACCCTGTATGACAGTAGAACTACCCTGTAGGGTCTCCATAGGTGTAAATCTGTGTGGAAGCAGAGTGCCACATCTTTCTCCATGGTGTAGCTGGTGGGTTTGAACCACCTACCTTTCTTTTAGCAGATGAGTGCTTAGCCACTGTGCCACCAGGGCTCCCTAGAATCACTTTACCAAGTTGTAAAAGAAAGTTATTGGAATTATGCTACAGCCGGCAATGCAGCTATTAAAAGCATGGTTTTGGAGTCTAGTAGATCTGGTTTGTGATCCAAGTTTATCTGTCCATCTGCTTGATAGAAAAATTATTCTCTAATCCTCTTCTGTCATTTGGGAAAAAGAAACAAACGTTTGGGAGGATCTTTGAGAGAGTATATATTTTCCATGCAAAATACTATATTCCTTTCTAACTTTTAGTCTTTTATGTATCTCAATAAAATTTTGTTTTGAAAATAAAAGTCAGGGTTTCCTCTTGTTGAATTTTGTTTAAGTTGTTTGTTGTCTGTTATTTGTTTTGCTCTGTGTGTATCTAACTCGCGCTTCCTCTCCCTCCCTCCCACCCCCCGCATTATTTTACTGGCAAAGGCACATTACCTCATGTTTGGTGAGTCCTGGCTCTGGTGAGCTAGACAGGTTACTTATCCTTTCAAAATCGGTTTCTTCAGATTTACAAACCTCTTGGTATGGTTTGGATTAAAAGTGGAAATACATATAAACTAGTTTCCAGGGGGCAGTTAGTAGCAGTTGCTTGTGCTGTTTTTTGTAAGTTTGCAGGTTTAAAGGAGAGCTTTTGGCTGGTCAGGGCTTACTCTTGGTTCTCTTTGCTTCTTCCCTTAGCCCCTGCCCTTCCCTCAGAGGGAGCCCAGATGAGGGCAGCCATGCCCCTGACAGCCCAACAACAGGTGAGCTGTGGGTCTCTCAGGTCCGCCTCAGATCTGTTTTGAAGGAGATGGGATTGAGGGCTGATAGAGGTGCTTCTGGCAAGTCTTAGAACCAACACAGTAGCAAGACCCCTGCTGAACCCTTCCACTGACTGGATGCTGGACAGAGAGAGCTGATGGTTAGGGGCTGAGCAGCTAGAGACTTGAGGATGGTGATGTAGGTTATCCAGTGTATGGTGGGAGCAAGATCACAAGGTTCTTGGGGATCAAGTAGGGCTAGAGGAACAAAGACAAAAGACAAGAAAAAGGAGTCTCTACCACTTGTTCTCCAAAGGAAAGAAGGAAGGGTATCTGAATCCGGGAGGAACCTATGTCATAACTGCTGGCTAAGGGAGATGATGGAATGCGATGAGGATATCTGGACTAAAAGAAGGACAGTGGAGTTAGGCATCCCATCAAATGGCATCATTTAGCCTCTTGTGTTTTAACTAACTTCTTTGGTAAAGTGAACATTAGTGTCTTACATTGGAACAGAGAAGTTAGTCTCTTGAGTGTCTTATTTTTTGAGATTGATAAATTATAGAGCAGTTCTTTACCTTCTTCCTGGGACTTCTTGGTCTAATGATTCAGCCTTCATGAGCCACATCCCAAGTCCCAGTTGGGCGTCTTCTGTGTTTCTCACTGATGCTGTGTCTTTCTTGTAGCTCCTAGCCCTCTTCTGAATTTCTACATGTTCCCAGACCCACCAAATTACAGTCCTGATCCTCAGTTCCTAGACTGCTGAGTCACTGTTGAGCCTGTTTTCACTTGGTAACACTTCCAGAGAGTCTCCAAGGCCTGTAGTTTCTGCTTCCTACACTCATCCCATCTTAAATTATCACCCTCATTCATGGTTTGTCTTTCTTGTCTGGGATTTTTATTTGCAGAACTTCCCAGCTACTTTCTCTATGTACAGTTTGTACTTCCCCATCACCTTCTATTGCTTACCTGATAAAGCTCAGCTTACTGAGTTTGGAGTTTGCCCTCCAGTTTAAGGTTTTCAAACTTGAGTGTGCATCTGAAGACTTCTTAAAATAGATATTGGTCTCAGGTGGGGCCTGAGAATTTGCCTTTCTAACACGTTCCCGGTGATGTAGCTGGTAGTCTGCTCTAGTTAGTGATGATGATTCAGGAAGTTCATGGAGGAGCTTTCAGGGTCAGGATGGAATTTTAAATAGATCATCAATATGGTAGGCAGAAGATGGACTCAGGACAGGATAAGCCTGGAATCGGAGCCATTGAAGTGTATAGCTGTTGAACTAAGTAGTGATTGTACTGTGGTGAAGAAAAGCCAGAGTCCAGAAATAATTTAGGAAATAAAACTGCCTGTAAGAAATAGGCAAGGACTAGATTTAGGTAGTGTAGAATGGGACTGAGCTGAAATGAGTGCTATTAACTATGATAGGAATGAAATGGGCATTCTTTACGCAGATTTGTGTATGTAAATTAGAAAGGGGAGCTAGTTTGAGGGGTTTGAGGTATCTGTAGCTAGTGGAGATCTGCAGAAGGAAATGAAGAGTTGGGAGAGGGAGGATATTCACTGCACATTAGGTAGAGTAACCAAGGTTGATACTAAAAGTGTGAGGTACTGGACCTTTCGGGGATGGTAGAGTTGGGACCAGCAGGGAGGGGAAGAGTTGGGTGTTATGAAACCATGGGATGTGGTGGACAACAGCTCTTACAGGTTTTCTTGGAGCTATGGTAGTTGCATAACAGGAAGGATGTAATCAGTGTTACTACATTATACATGGAAAGGCAATGAATTGCAAATACTTTGCTCTGTATATTTTTACCACCCACATGTGTGTTTCCTAATGGAAGTTCTTATGGTAGAGAAGTTCCAGATTATTGATTGTAGAAATAATCATTTTATGGTCCAGTTTCTTTCCCTTCTCATTACCCATCCCTCCTTCAGATCCGTAGACTGTCCCCTCCGCCCTACATTGGCTCTGGGACAGCAGAAACCTGTTATTTTAGGAGGTGGTGACCTTCGAGGACGTGGCTGTGTACTTTACTAGGACAGAATGGGCTGGCCTTTCTCCTGTGCAGCGGGCCCTGTACAGAAATGTGATGCTGGAGAATTATGGGAACTTGACCTCCCTGGGTAAGGTGCTTTCCTTCTGAGACTTGATCTATACTTGGTACTTTCTCTCCTTCTTTCTCCTGACAGGCTGCAGTGTGATGCTGAGAGAAAGGTGCATCTTTCTTTCTGTCCTCTCCTGAATAGTGTCTCCAGGACTGAGGCTAAATAGTCAGTCCAGAGGTTGCTGTATAGGTTGAGCTCTTGGATCAGTTTGGCTCCAGGGTAGAGACTTACTGTATCTTGGTAAGAGGATGGGATGGTCATCCTCCACAAGGCTCTGCAGGTGTTGCCCAGGCCAAGTTCTCAGCTCATTGCTGCCCTCCTTATTCAGAGAAGGCTGTGATCCCTGTGTCTGCACATGGCTGGCAGGATCTCACTAACTTACTTGCTTCGAAGTAGTTTTCAAGGAAGAGATCACAGCTGTTCAGTTTTCTCTTGATCTAAGTCCCTCTGGCCGTTCCCAGTCCTGAGCTGTCTTCTTCAGATCTCATTCTTACTGAGACTTTGAGTCCTTCCTTGTTTTGACACAGTTAACAGAGGCCCAAAAGTTGCCACTTTTCTTTCCTCTTTTCAGGATACCTAGTTCCCAAATCTTCTCTGGTCTCACTCCCGGAGGCAGGGGATTTGTCTCGGAACATGAAGTCACAGGATGATCCACCTGCAGAGATGACCGAAGACATTTATAAAGGTAAGCAGGACAGGTTTAGAATTGGCAACAGGTTTAGAATAGAGCTTTTTAGAGTAGTGCATTTGAAAATGATTCATGCTGGGCAGGATTTGAATAAAATAGATGATATCTTCTAATAGGTCATTGGAAACCTTCCCCATAGATCTTAACTCTTAGCAATATAATGTATCTTCTATACAATTCTGAATCTGTTGCTCTTCCTAAATTTCAACATCACCCTAAGTGTCCCTTCTTTCTTGGACAGGAAGGATTTATTCAGTAGCAGTTTTTTAGTGTTTATATGTATCCAGTGTGGTTTAAGAAGCTCTAGAGAGAAAGCTATATACCAGTTTTCATTGCAACATTTTTCACATTAATGAAGAGAATGAATCAACTGAAGTCTCCATCACAGATGGATAGAGACACTGTATAGGGTTTCCCAGGCTTTTAAAATCTTTGCAGGAGCAAAAGCCTCATTTTTCTTCCACAGAGTGACTGGTGGTATTGAACCATGGACTTCTGGTTTGCAGCCCAGTGTTTACTGTATGGAGCTACCACGCTCCATACAATAAACTGTGTTGTCATTGTTAAGTGCTGTTGAGTTGGTTCCAGTCCATAGCGGCCCTGCATAGGGTTTCCAAGGAACAACTGGTGAGCTTGTACTGCCAAACTTGCAATTCACACCAATTTTGCCGCCCAGCGCATTAACCCACAGTGCCACACCAGGATGCCTAATAAACTATGTTATTTTTGTTGTTGTTAAGTGCCATTGAGTCGGTTCCTAACCACAGTGACCCTGTATAGGGTTTCTAAGGAGCAGCTGGTGAGCTTGAACCCCCTACCTTGTGGTTCAAACTGATTCTGCAGTCCAGTGTGTTAACCCAGAGCGCCACACCAGGACTCCTAGTATAGTATAAACATATATGTCCTGAAAAACCACAAAGTTTGGGTCATTGACTTTATTATAAGATTCACTTTATTGTGGTGACCTAGAACCAGACCTGCAATATCTCTGATACATGTCTGAAGTCTCTAAAAGTCCTATGGTTTCTGATGATCTGATGTTTCTAGAATAATTTTAGAATTTATGTTTTCTATTTCTTATGTCAGATGCTGAGACCAACATTTACAGTGAGTCCACAGCAACACAGGGAATCTCTGGAGAAAGAGATGTGATGATATCTTGTGGGCTGCAAAAGAGTGTTTTTCAGGGATCTGACTTCCTGGAAACATGTGACCTGGAGAAGCACCCCACAGTGAAAAATATTAGAGAAAAGCTTGAGAGAATCCCCTATGCAGGGAAACCTTTCAGATGTGAGGCGTGTGGGAAATGCTTCAGCTATTTTCCTACTATGCGAGACACCAGAGAGTTCACACTGGCGAGAAACCATTTGAGTGTCATGACTGTGGAAAAGCCTTTAATGGCACTTCCTCCCTAATCCGCCATCAGCGAATCCATACCGGAGAAAGACCCTATCAGTGTGAGGAGTGCGGACGAGCCTTTAATGATAATGCCAATCGGATCAGACATCAGAGGATCCATACTGGAGACAGACCCTGTCACTGTAAGGAGTGTGGTAATAGTTTCACCAGTAGTTCTGAGTTTGTTATACACCACAGAATACACACTGGGGAGAAACCCTATGAGTGTAATGAGTGTGGAAAAGCTTTTGTTGGCAACTCACCACTAATTCGGCATCAGAAAATTCACACTGGAGAGAAGCCATATGAGTGTAATGAGTGTGGCAAAAGCTTCAGAAGGACTTCCCATCTTAGCCAACATCAGCGTATTCATGCAGGTGAAAAGCCTTATTCTTGTAAAGTATGTGGCCAAGCTTTTAATTTCCATACAAAACTTACTTGACATCAGAGAATCCATAGTGAGGAGAAGCCACTTGAGTGTGTAGATTGTGGAGAAGCCTTCAGTGCTAAGGAACAGTTAAGAAGACATCTCAGAATCCATATTCAGGGGTCTTCCCTGGTATGTGATGAGTGTGGAAAAGACTTCCCCAGCAAAAGAAATCTTTGTCAGCGTCAGAAAATTCACATTGGGGAGAAACCCTGTGAGTGTAGAAAGTATGAAAAAACGTGTAGGACTTCTTCCCAACTAGGTCATCATGAGCATGTCCTACTAGGAGAGAAGCCCATGCTAGACATTTGTCATTTTGGCCTCCCAGAATTTTTTACACCCTTTTATTGGTAATAGTAGATAATGAAGTTTCTTTAGGACTGTATACTCAGGTGTGGAATGTGGAACATAGACCTAGCTCAGTGCATGTTTCCCTCACTTCCAGGCCACAGTTACTGGTTCTAATGTCAAAGAATTACCTAAGATCATTCAATTAAAGTGAGTCCCAGGACTTGTCAAGAACTAATTTGAAAAAAACAAAAAACCCCAAAAACCTCTTGTTTATTTACTGGGATTGAGTTGAGAGGAATTCCTTGGATTCTTGTGGAATCTGAGAATAAAGTCAACACAGCAAAAGAGAAATCTGAGAATTGGAGAACAACCAAGTCTTGAAGACATTGTTTCAATAACTACATTAAATCATATCTGAAGCTAGAATTGTGTCTGGGACTTTTAATTCTGGTAACCAATAAATTCCACTTTTGTTTTTGTGCTTAAACAAGTCTGAGCTGAATTTTTCCTTTCTTGAAAGAGAATGTTGACTTACACAGAGTCTTATCAGTGTAATACTAATTAATGTCTGCAGGGATAATAAACCTAGTGCTAGATAAATGTTTGCCTTTTCTATGTGTGTGTTGTGTGGAAGTTTTTAACGATAGCCCTGGCAGTTTGCATAGGAGCAAAGATTGTGATTATAATGAGAATGGGAAACTCTTTCACTGTAAGACTCAAGACAACCCAGGCTGTGTCTAGGTACCACCAGTAGATAAGACATTCTAACCTCTCAAGCTCTGTGACAGTCGCTTCAGTGTTACTATAGTAGTATATCTGCATCAGTGAATCCTTTTCAGGAAGTCATACTGTGAAATTGAAAACCGTATTTGTAAAGCTTTTATCTTCTATTTACTAGTTTTTATTTAGAGTGGATGTTATTCTAAGATTAAACTGCTAAATGACTTGTTTGTGTACCTTCTATAGATTGGTATTTGCCAGTTTTTTTTTTTCTTTGTTGGTATTACTAATTTTCCCCTTTAAAAAATTGAGTGAAGGGTTACAGAACAGATCATCTGTTTTATATTCAACAAATCATATACTTTCTTTCAGTGTTTGGCAACCCCCTCCATGTAACTGCAGTTATCTTATTTCCTCCCTCTGTTTCCTCTTATTTCCATTCCACTTTCTTCACAACTATTCTGAATTTTGGTAGAATTTTGGTAGGTCTTTAGATAGATGCTGCCCTTTCAATCTTGAATGGTTGACCATTCCATGGTGTACATAACTCACTAGTGGCATTGTCCTCCTATATATCTACCTCTTGGTTAAAAATTGAGCCACGAGGATGAGTTCAGTTCCAGACCTGAAAGCTGACCCAGGATCATGGTCTTGGGCCACTCCAATCGTAAGCATGCTCTTTTTTATATTTTTGAGTTTTGTTCCATATTTTCTCACTCTGTCAAGTACCTTCTAATATGATCCCTTTGAGAATAGTTGGTAGTGGTAGCCAGGCACTGTCTAGTTCTTCTGGTCTCAGTGTCTGGGAGACTGATGTTCACATGTTTCATTACTCCATTGGACTAATTGGCTCCAAGTGCCTTCGCTTTTCATCATTCTTTTTTCCTCTGTACAGGGAGAGACCAATGCTTGTACCTTAGATGGCTATTCGTGTTTTTAAAATCCCAATCACTAATCAGAAAAGTAGGATGTAGAACATTGTGTTTGTGAGCTATGTAATGCCAGTTGACCATGATGCCACCCGAGATTATGGTCCTGAGCGCCCAGGCCAAGCAACTTATTCCCTTAAGGTATTTGGTAACGTCTAAGAGGTTTTCATAATTTTTCCCTGGCTTGCTTTATCACATTCTTGTATATGTGTACAGCAAAAATGTGTGTTGTTAGGTGCTGTTGAGTTGGTTCTGACTCATAGTAACCCTGTGCACAACAGAATGAAACACTGTCTGGTCCTGTGCCATGCTCACAATCATTATGTTTGAGCCCATTGCTGATGCCATTATGTCATTCCATCTTGATGGAGGTTTCTTTTTTGCTGACCCTCCACTATTCCAAACATGATGTCTTTCTTCAGAGATATGTCCCTCTCTTTCCGTGAGTCTAGGGTCCTCAGCTGCTCCCTCTCTCCATGTCTCCATCTCTTCCTCCATCTCTGGTGTTGCTGCTTCTCTGGATAAAGTCCTGCGTTCCACTTGTGCTCTTCTTCCTTGATGGCCCTAGGGTCCTCTGTTTCTGGACTGTAAGATTAACTACTACTCTGTTTTTGTTACAAAACTTCTATCTTTATAATTGTGAGAGTCACAATTAGTCATAACAATTACTATTGAATGATAAGAATCTTATCCCCATCTCTTTCTCTCTCTCTCTTTTTTTTTTTTAATATTTTATTGTAAATTATGTGATAGTTTACATGGGAGAACATTAGCTTTGCATTCATCCTATTGTATATCATTTCATTGCCATGATTACAATCCCCTCCATACATCATCAACCAACCAAAGGGTAAACCATACAAGCCTGACCTTCAGTCGTCAGCACACAGCCCTTCTCCCCATTTCTTTTTACCTGACCTGTCTAGACAATATGAAAACTGTTAAGTGGAGAACTCTATCATCCCCCACACTCTCTTAAACTCCCTCTTGAAACCTTGTAAGCCAGTCACTTCGTGCCTTTATTGCCCCGTCATTTTAGATAACCAATGTCTAAGTTGCCTGAAAACTTCTTACCTCTCTGTTGGTATTTTGAGCTACTATAAGGAGCTCTGGTAGCATAGTGGTTGCAAATCGGGCTGCTAATCTTATAGTCAGCAGTTCAAAACTACCAGCTGTTCCATGGGAGAAAGATGGGCCTTTCTGCTTCTTATAAAGATTTACAGTCTCAGAAACCCTGTACAGGGTCGCTATGAGTCAGAACCGACTCCACGGCATACAACAACAACAACCTCCATGAGTATAGGTCAAGTTCATCAAATTGTAGCAATTTACACTTGTTTCCTTTCTTCAGCAAGATTTTATTTGCATATAATAATGATTCTGTTTGTTGATTTCTGCATTCTACTGGGTCACCTTTCTTTGGAATGGGCACAAATACGGATTACTTCCAATTGAATGGCCAGGTAGTTGTCTTCCAAATTCCTTAGCATAAGTGAGTGAGCACCTCCAGCACTGTATCATTTTATTGAAATATTTCAGTTTGTATTCTGTCAACTCCTGGAGGGTTTTTTTTGGGTCAGCGGCTTTCAGTGCAGCTTGGACGTCTTCAATACCATTGGTTCTTGATGATGTGCTGGTGGTGGCTATGTGCCATGGAGTCAGTTCTGACTCTGAGCAACCCTAAGTAGTGTTTCCAAGGTTATAAATCTTTACAGGAGCAGAAAGCCTTATCTTTCTCTCACAGAGTGGCTGCTAGATTTAAACTGCTGACCTTGCAGTTAGCCCAGCTCACATTCCATCATACTACCAGAGCTCTTCTTGTTCAGATGCTACCTTATACTGCTTGATTTTGTGTCATATAGCTGCCCTTTTACATTTTCTTTTCAGATCTTTTACTTCTAAAGTGCTTTAACTTCTCTGTTGCTCAAGGGCAAGTTTCAGAATCTCTTCTGACATCCATTTTTGCCTTTTTTTTTTTTTTTCCCTGTCTTTTTAATGACCTTTTGCTTTCTTCATTATGATGTTCTTGATGCTATCCTACAACACTTCTGGTACCATGTCACTGGTGTTGAATGCATTGAATCTGTTCTTGAGATAGTTTCTAAACTCAAGTGGGATATATTTAAGGTCATATTTTGTCTCTCATGGACTTGGTTTAATTTTCTTCAGCTTCAGCCAGAACTTGCATATGAGTCATCACTGGTCTGTTCTGCAGTCATTCCCTAGCCTTATTTGGTTGATGATACTGAGCTGCTCCACTATCTCTTCCACAGATGTAGTTAATTTGATTTTTGTGTATCCTATCTGGTGAGGTCCATGTGTATAGTCTTTTATGTTGAAGAAAGGTAACTGCAATGAAGAAATCATTTGTCTTGCAAAATATTATGCTATCTGTAGCATAATTTCTGTCACTTAGGCCATGTTTTCCAACTACTGATCATTCCTCTGTTTCCAACTTTTGCATTCCAATCACCAATAATACTAATGCATCTTGACTTTGTGTTTGATTAATTTCAGACTGAAGTTGATAGAATTCTTCAATTTCACCATCACTGGCTTTAGTGGTTAGTGCATAAATTTGAATAATAGTGGTATTAACTGGTCTTCATTGTAGGCATATGGCTATTATCCTATCATAGACAGCACTGTACTTCAAGCTAGATCTTGAAACGCTCTTTGATCATAAATGCAACACCATTTCTCCTCAATTTGTTCCTGGCATAGTAAACCATATAATTGTCAGATTCAAAATGGCCAGTACCTGTCCATCTCAACTCATTAATGCCTAGGATGTCAGCATTTCATTTCATTTTTGATGACTTGCACTTTTTCTACATTTATATTTCACGCATTCTGAATTTTGGCTATAAATGGATGTTTACAGCTGTTTCTTCCCACTTTGAATTATGCCAAATAAGCAAATGAAGATCCTGAAAGTTTTGCTCCATTTACTTCATTAAGGTCAACTCTATAATTTGCAGAGGCTGCTCTCCCACACATTAATTTTGAGTGCCTTCCAACCTGAGGGGCTCATCTTTAACACTATATCAGACAGTGATCTGTTGCTACTCTTAAAGGTTTTAATGGCTAACCAGGAGTGGTCTGTTGCTCCTTCCTAGTCTGTCTTAAGTCTGGAAACTCCACTGAAACCTATCCACCATGGGTGGCCCTTCTCATATTTAAATAACAGTGGTATAGTTGCCAGCACACTGACAGAGCAGTGGTGGTGGTGGTTGGGGGGCAGGGAGGGACACATAGAGGACAGAAAATGTAAAGACACCCAGTAAAGAAACGGAATCAAGTCACCAGAGGCTGTTAGTTTTACGTTTTGCACCAGCTGCAGCTGTCATGTTAACAGCAGTAATATTTTTGACACCGTGTGTCAGGCACTTTACTAATCACTACACTTAATAAATACTACACCTTTTTTTTTTAGTATCTACAGTCTCAATTGTTATAACTGAGGACACAGATTAATTAGGTTTCTCAAAGGAAAGGAATAAAATAATAGGGAATAAAATTTTACAATGATTTCCTTGTTCTAGTTCTGATTTAGAGTGCTGGTGTGGCACTGTAGGATAAGCACTGTATCATAAAGTTGGTTTGAACTTCAAGGTCTGCGGTTCAAGCCTTGCAGCCACTACTCAGAAACCCTACACAGGGTCACTATGACTCTACGGCCCTTAACAACAACAGTTCTGATTTATAGAATGCTTTTCTCTACCCACCTTCCCACTATATGCTATGCTCTACAAGGGCTATGATCTGTAAACTTTATCTTTCAAATGGCTATAATAATAACTTCAAGGTGAAGTGAAGGAAAAAAGCACAATATGTGTAAGTTTATAACTAGTAAAGTGCTTTTCAAATAACAGATTTTGTGGCTTATAACACTTGTATAGAAGGTAACTCTTTCAAGAGAGTTTAAAGTGGTTGAGTAAGTCATCGTCGTTAAGTGCCATGGAGTCATTTCTGACATACAGTGACCCTGAATACAATAGGGTTTCCAAGGAGCAGCTGGTGAGTTTGAACCGCTGACCTTGACGTTCGGACTAGCTTTGCAGTCCAGCGCATTAAGCCACATTGCCACACCAGGACTCCAAATAAATCACTGAAGTATATTATCTAATCTTATTGTATTCTTATTATGTGTAAATGCTATGGTAATTTATAATTTTTATTATCAACAATAAAATATTTAGTTTTTCAAAGTGTGTGTGCTCATGTATGTGCATATTCTGATGTACTTTATAGCAACTTTTAAAGATGTTGGGTAAAAAAAAAATCCAGAAGCCTTCCCTGAGCATTTGGATATATGATAAATTCTTGTCCTTGAATTTTCTGGAGTTTGAGAGCAGTGATAGAGACAAGCAGAGGCTGGGACACTAGGTGACATGGATCATGTTCTATCCAGTGGGTTCAAAGGAAAAGTTAGGGTGAGAAGTGTCAGGAGGTCAGAGTTAATAAAGAGAAGGACCAGCATCAGGCTGAAGAGCAATGGTTCTGAAATTTGATTTAGAAGACCTTGGAGAGCCCTGTAAAGAAAAAGCAGAGGCAGCGCTAAGCACCTTGGACAGCACCTTGACTGTTTTCTACTGTAGTCCTCTGTCTTTGGGCAGTTCTATGAGCATTTTCGGAGCCCTCATATGGGCTGTGGGCTAATGCGTCAGACTGCTAAGTCATTTGAACTACAAGGTCAGTGGTTCAAACTCACCAACTGCTCCTTGGAAACCCTATACAGGGTCGCTATGGGTCGGAATCGACTCGATGGCACGTAACAACAACAACATAAGCATTTTCGGGGGGTGGGGGTTCTGGAGTGATGCTGTAGGATGAGCACTGGATGGCTAACTGTAAGGTCGGTGGTTCAAACCCATCGGCCACCCCTTGGGAACCCTATTCAGGGTTGTTATGAGTTAGAACTGACTCGATGGCTCTTAACAACAGCATAAACATTTGGAGTCTTGGGTTGGCAATGTAGGATAGGTACTGGACTGCTAGTCACAACGTTAGTGGTTCAAATCCACCACCCTCTCCTCAGAAACCCTATACAGGATCACTATGAATCAGAATTGCCTCAACAGCACTTAATAACAACAGAAACATTTACATGTTGTAGGGTGGTGCTGCTAATTCCCTGA